GCTTAATAAAGGTATGTACCAGCATTATAAAATATTTAGTTCACAAAATTAACTGTATCACCAATTTGTATTTGTAAAATATTTGTGTAATCAAATCTATAGCTAAAACATATTTTGGTAAAAAAAAAAAAAAAAAAAATGCGTTGAATCTGTACGATCCACAAACAGCTTCATTACCAGATCTGAGTTGACTTGCCTAAGCGAAGAATTTTCCTGCAGTGCATGCTTACAAAAGTATCTGTATGTATATGTGAATCATCGCTTGCCAACAAAATTTACCGCAAATTAGTTTTGTTGACAATTTTCGATTTGACGGAATAATCATCCGTCGATCGGTGGCTGTTAATTTACTTATTCCATTAACGGTGTAGCAAATGTGGTTCGATAATGTGTGAAATGTGGAGCAAATATTAAAAATTCATGAATATAGTAAGTAACATTACATTCTTAACTGCACAAATTCATGTGAGTGTGCAGACTGAGGGACAGCAGTGATAGCGGTGAGAAATTTTAGAAGAGTAACTACGAGTGTTATCAGTTTTACTAGCTAAATAAATATCATCTTCCGCAAATTGTCTCCCTTCATATCTGAGCATCTTATTTGTAGTAATTTGCTCACTGCTACATATTAAATTCCTCTCTTATACTACGTGTAGCGTATGCCGCTTATCAGTTGTTTGTTTTGTTGTTTTGTATATATTGTTTGGATTACTAATAAGTGCATTCGAGTAATCTATAACACATTTTTTTATTTTTATTTAGCATTTTTTGTTTATACATATTTCGTCTGAACTAATAACAGTAATATGTAGAGCATCTTTTTGCACAAATTGCGACATTTGGGCAGTTGTCTCATAGATCTCTGTCTGGTAGCAGGGACTTCTCGTTGCTTTAGCCCGGTCCGAAGCGGTCGCGTTTATGTCGGAAGTAGACGCGGTAGTTGTTTTAGTGTTGCGTTGATTTTTGTTTCTTGCAACGTTCTTATAAATTCTTTGGAGTCAATAATTTGTGTTAGGTAATTCTAAATTCAGACTTATTTAAATCGTGAACAATGTGTCGTGAGTGAAACTGTGAATGTAAATGTTTACCCTTGCGTAGAATTCAACAATTTCGTACTACACTGCTGGGTTTAATAAGTCAGCTTTTGGTAACCTGGTTACTTTATGGCTTCTCAGTATAAATAATCCTTTTGTATGTATTTACTTAGTTTGAGGTATTTAGTGGAGTATATACTCTCTGGAGTTTTGTCCGCATAGCCTCCGTAGTTCACGGCTCCCTATAAAGACGTTAAACGGCGTCAATTCGCAGCTCGGAGGTGGTTAATTGACATCTCCGAGACGGCTGTTAACGTGATTACCGCGCTTAGCGTACAAAAAAATCGATTGTGACATAGGCTGTGCGGCATGACGCGCCATCCTGCTGAAACCCAAGATCATTAATGTCCGTGTCATCAAAATCTGGTAAAAAAAATTGTTTTAATGCCTGCATAATGCAAAAGCAGTCACAAAAAGCAATGGGATTTTTAAGCCAGTTCAAACTTCCACTTCATCTGACTAAATTGTATTCTGCCTACCCAAAAATGTTCTAAAAATTCTTATTATAAAGCTTGAGGTTTTGACGCAAATTCATACATATATAGTTTTGGCTTGGATAATATTTTTATAGAAAAAATAAATAAAAAATTTAACTTCAAAATCATTTATTTGAGCCACTGTATGTATGTATGAGGTATGTGTAAGATGCAATTTTTATAAACAATATTAATGTGGGAGACGTGGCGGCCGCTGTGGCTGACTAGTAGGAGATGCGTACTACCACTCCCTGGGCATGGGTTCGATCCCTGGTCCGGGCGACATCTATATTAGGAAACGATTTTTCTATTAGCGGCAGAAAATCACTAACTTACTAGTGCATTTCTGCTATGAAAAATCTTCTCATAAAATTTATTTGCCATTCGGCAGCAGCGTAAAACTGTAAGTCGCTCCTTTTGTGTAACAACATCAAGACGCACACTACTAATTGGAGGAGAAGCTCGGTCAAACATCTAGCACAATTGTTAGCATCAAAATATTATTTTAATGTGGGGCTGGGAAATTTATAAAGGCCAACTCTGAAACGTATATGTGTTTAGTTCTGGTGATCTTACCAGACTCTAAATAGTAATTAAATAATAATAGTTTAAAGTGTTCGAGGAACACATACATATGTGTATATATGTGTGCCAACAAGTTTTTGGGAAGTTAATTGGATATGCATTTAGAAAAACTCTGGAACTTCAAAATATATTTAAACAGCTTGTCAATGCAGTTAGAGAAGGATGTTTGATATTCATGCGGCTCACACATCCATACGAATTTACTTTTTAGATAGCTAGATGAAAAATGGGCTTACGTTTTTAGGTATGTAAGCGCCTCTTTGTCTCACGCAGCCATATCCTCTAAACGCAATCTGGCATCTGCATACCTCCGCTTGATCGAATTTCCCGGCGGGCCCGTTATTGCAGCTGCAGGACTCGATGAAGTCAGTTCATAAATTAAAATAATCTGAGGCAATTCAGCTATCCAAGGCAGATCAACGGGCCACAGGTGTATCAGGAAGAAGTTTTTACCATCTAAGAGACAGCACAGAAGAGACCTGTGTAAGAATGAGGCTATGCTATGCGTAAGCCCGAGAAATTGCAAAAGTTATGAATTAGCAAGGACAGTTTCGACCACGTCATTCCATGAAAAAACACGGCGGGAATATCAAAAACCTCATTTAAACGATATTTAGGAGATCAATTGACAATTGAATGGAGATAACTCTTCCGTACTTTTGGGCTTTTGTTACTCCTTCACGCATTAAACCAATATTGTAGTTGCAATCCCTTCGAGCGGCTGGCGACAAAACTTTTATTTAAACATATTGTCGCATGAATGAATTATTGTCGTAAGCGCCATTTTGACGATTTTTAGTTTTAGATATAGTTGTATAAATAAAAATAAAATCTTAGGGTTGCTGTTTTGGTTTCCGAGATACCTACTCTCTTACATTTTTTGGTATGCCTCCCCTTCACAAAGGAGGGAAGACATTGGAAAAGTTGCCCACACGAGAAAACGTGCTGAAATGTCATTACCTAAATTGGTAAGCGTCTACCGAATACACCTTGAAATCATAAATGGCTGAAAACATTACAACACTTGTTGTTGTCTTAACTGAGAAAATTTACTTACTGCATTTTCGATATACGTACGTATTTAGCAATTTTCTAGTTATATTTAATACCGCTCCTGTTTTTCATATCTAAAAAACCAACATTCAAATTTGAGGCTGCCTTATCAAAGACGTCTCCAATTTAAAATCTGTAAATTCATAATTTCTGTATATGTAAGTATTTGTAATTTTTCCACCCTGTTACTCTAAGAACGTGAATAAACATATAAAAAAGTGAGTGGGCGCACAAAAATATGTAGACAAATTTTATAAGTTTATTAATCAATATGCAAATTCATATAATTCGCACCTCATCAAAGCTATTTGTTGAAAATTATTTGCTCGCAGTCATAAAAACACGCAACCACTAACGCGCTTCAACGCAACACTCGTGCACACGTTCATGTAAGTAAGTAAGTATATATCTATGGCAGTTTATTAAAACAACTTATCTCGAGATATATCGTTTCGCATGTGAAGCAATATTTAATTGGGTACCCAAACAATATTTTAACGATTAGCTAGGCGTAGGTGTAAAGCATTCTAATCTTTTAATAGAAGCTAATTAAAATATGAAATTTTTTATGGGAAACTTATTATTTTTAAATTCAAAGTCAAACCTTCCAAAGTCACTTAAGTTGTTTTAATGCGATGCTACAGATATGTAACTACATATGTGCATACATATATTTGTACGTAACGGGCATGAGTGTTTGTGCGTTCGTTAGCATGTATTGATCCATTAAATTTCAATAAGTCAAGATATTTTTTTTATTTCTACACTTTTCGCACAGAAGTAAAAAAGAAGAACTGTTAATTGCAAAATTAAATTTGCTTGCAAAATGTATAGACAGGTTTGGAAAAAAAAACATTCGCAAAGGCCTTAAGTAATCAAATGACTCTGAAGCGGGAAATCGGTGTTGCGACATTTGACACGGGGCACTTCCGACGCCGTACCGCAAATGCTTGCGGCGACAGCGACAGCGACGATGACAGTAACATCGACAATGAGATTCAATTTAAATTATTAAAAGCGCGAAAATGCGCTACAAGGAAGCAAAATGAAGCCAATTAAGAGGCTAAAGTTGAGGCGCTCATTGAAGGTGGCGAAAAGGTTGGCGATGGATGGAAGTGCAGGTAGCCAGGATTGGCTTTGCTTATTGCTGTTGTTGTTGTTGACTTGCTGGCGTCAGCTTGTTAATGCTTGCTGGCCTCACCTTGATTGTTGGCTGTTGCCGATGACTCGGAGTGGCAGGTGCGAAAATTGGCAACCGGGTAATCAGTGCTTATCAGCAGCTGACTATCTGTTTACGCCAGTCTCAGTCATGTTGAAGCGCCAGCGGGTTGAAGAGCGAGTTGAGAGCGAAAATAATGAAAGGTTACAAGGCTATAGAAAGCAAGTAAATAGTAGGTGAAAGCAGCTCCATTTAAAGGCATATAGCGCTTAGAGCAGTGGTGTGTTGATTTTCAAGCGCAGTGTTGCAGATGCAGTTGCAGTTGGGGAATAGTGGCGCAATTGCAGACGCGAAAGCAAGTGAGTGCTGTGAACTGCTGCTTGCCCCTTGCTGCTTGTTAACAACACTTATAAGCTATTTTAATAATGGCCAAGGGCGACAACAGCGCACAACACTTCCGAGTTGTCCTGTCGCAAAACACCATAGAACACACAATGCGCTAAGGACTCGGCGCGCGCTATGATGGCACACACTGCAATGCAAATGTGCTCCCAATGAAATGTTAAGCTTTTCTTGCCTGTCATTTTTGTTAACATAAAATAAAATTAGTGTTTTTATTTCTTCTTTTTGCAGCATCGGGGACAGCTGTGGAGCGGCGCTTGAATCAGGAATCTCTTCCAACCGAAATGGCACAATATGGCAATACAATGCCTGGCCACACGTTACATGCACAGAAGGTACCAGACCGCAGTCAAAACTACACAACGGAGGAAATGGGCGAGCCAACCTCATTAAGCGCAACAACTGTTGGCGACGTGAGTGTGGCAGGTGTGACAGCATTTGGCGTTGGAGGTGACGATAGTCCTGGCGGCGATGGAGGACAATCGCATCATGACTACAAAGGCCCCAAAATGTAAGTGTATTTTGTATGCAAATATTACAAAGAGTTTTCTGCTGTGCAATTAACAGTTGTGGCACGCATACACACACATTCATACATACTTTTAAGCATTCAATTCATGGAACTCTATCCGGCTTCAGCGTTTTCATTCAACACTGCTGTTATATGAAGAGCTTTTTGCCTTCTGTTGCATTGCACTTTTATTGTTCGCGTATCTTTAGACGTTTTCCGGTAACCTTTGCCTTTATTGTATATATATTTTCTTTGCACTGCATTCGTTTGAAAAATGCAAGCCATGCCAATGTACACAGTTTTCTATGGACCATTTGTTGCATTCAGATGTACTTGAATTTTTCATCTCATTACGAATGCAAAATCAAGTAAACACAATGTTAATGTACGCTTAACTTTTTGTTGTTATATTCTGTAAAAATTTAACTTTCTTTCATGTCTATGAAAATGGAATTAAAAATTCATCTGCTTTCGTTTCTTCGTATGTTTTAAACTTAAGTACATATGTATGAGTATGTGCTTATATATTTCTTGAGTTATTTTCAAAAAATTTTAAATTTGAACCAAGTAATTGCGGACTAAGGAAAAAAAATAAAATTTTATTCGCTTACTCCTATCAAAACGGGTCTTATGATGTAATTTTTAAAAGAAAGGCAGTTAGAGGGTTCAAATGTTCTACAAACATATCAAAAACCTAGAAACAAAGCTCCACATACTTAAACTTAGGTTAATAACCTAGGAGATCTTCAGATTTTTTTTAGCCCCCTTAAAAATATTTTCAAACTAAAACTTTCTTCAACCTCTTTCTTTTGACACATTTTCTATTAACTTATACCCTGAACTCATGCCACTTTCAGTTTTAAACAGGTGGCAACCCCCTACATTTAGTGTTTAGAAACTAAGCCGCTTGAAAAACATTTCGTTTGATACCCATATTGTAATAATCCAATAAAATTATTAAATAGTATGAATTTAACTTTTTAAATAGGTGGCAACCTGCTTAAACCTTTTTCGTCTGACACTTATGTAATACACATGTACATGTGTATCTATGTATGAATTTGAATTACCTAATTGACATAATGTAAGTTGAATTTGATTTTTCAAACAGGTGGCAACCCTGCTGGCTGTGACACATAAATAAAGTCTTTTCAAAACTATTTCGATGCATACCCATAATATAATAATTTAATTAAGCAGCCTCTTTCAAACACCTCAGAGAAATAAGTAATTTAATCGAATGCGAGTTTTCAGACTGGTGGCAGCCTTCTTAAAAATATTTTCAAAATACAACCTTATTAGACATCTTTCGTCGGACACCCAAAGTTTGATATGTATTACCTAATTCTCTTAATTTATGTAAAATTTGATATTTCAAATGTAGGTTTTACTTTTTGTGTATCTTTTCAGTTTTAACCTTTTGTTTTAAGATGAAGAATTTTTTTTTGAATTTAATTTTTAGGAACTGGTTTGATTTTTTCTTTTTTAATATTTTCTCTGTCTTTTTTTAGTTTCATTTTCTTTTAATTTTAGTTTTTATTCTTTAAAAAGGAAAATATTTTTTTCATTTAGTTAAATTTTTAGGAACTCATTTAATTTAATTTAATTTAATTTATTATTCATTTGTTTCAGTAGTACAGAGTAAGACTTATGCCTTAACTGATTTTATTTATCTGTTATTTTTATAATTTAAATTCGTTTTCTTTTGTTAATTTAATTAACCTTTAATTTTTGGATTTTATTGTTTTAGCAAGTAATTTTTTAAGCAAAATATAAAACCCATTTCAATTCTCATATAAAAGTTTAGATGTACGGTTAATTTCTTCATGATTATTTATTTTATTTCTTTGAATATTTAGATTTGGTTTTAAAATTAAAGTTTTTATTTGAATTTTATATAATTTTTAAATAATATTTTCTTCTTTTTTGATTTAATTTTTCCTTCTTTTAGTTTAATTTTTAGATTTAGTATTTTTAAGACGATTTTTTTTTATAATTTTATTTAATTTTAAAAATATTTTTTTATTCATTTCCGCTTCATCTTTATTTATTTAAATTTTTTTATTTTTTAAATTAATTTTCTGGGATTTATTGGATTTTATTGTTTTAAAAAAGAAAATATATAATTTTTTAATTTAATATGATTTTCGAAAGACTTATTGCTAAAATACGAATGCCAAGACCTCTTCTTTAACAGGTCTTTCAACAGTCATTCGAATCGGCAATTGTCTCACGAAAGACTTTTATCTTTCGAAAGACTGCGGTGAGTTCAAAGATAGTTGCCAGAACTGTCCTGTAAATGTTGAGCCTTTAGTTTGGCGACCAGAATCACAGGCGGTTAGTAATATGTTTAAAGCAATAGTTTTGAGTTCGTGGAACCTGTTGTGAAAAGGTTTCTCTCAAAGATTAGACTGCCCTGTAGGAGAATTATTTGACTAAACCGTGTGCCGAAATATTAGTTTTATTTTGGAAAACCTATGTGTACTGGAATGCAAATCGGGGTAAATAGTGCGTAAAAGATACTTACCAATTTAGGGCAGTGAAAATAGAAAAGAGGTTATGGGAATGTTTCTGTGCTGGCCACACCTGCATATTTATAAAGGCAGGTCTATGTGATGTCCTGCTTCGAAAGTAATTCATCTATAAAAACGTATGAATAAGTTTTAAGGCTACTTCTGGGTTGATCTGTTTGATCCTAATCTTGGAGTTAGAAATTATGGGCTATAGCAAAGTTGAACTTAGATTAATGTATTACTTAGGAAATTCTAACTCGAAGCTTGGCTGTATTAATTTGGATAAGAAAGAAAATAGGAAGCACATGTACATATATTCGGTTCTACCTTGGAATTAAATGTGGTAAGAAAAAAGTTCTTTGAGTGGAACAGTTTGTTTCATATTTGTATAAAATAATCTGGTTCAAAGAAACTTCAAAGGCCTGGCTCTCTCCAACTTTTTTACTAGCTTATTTATGTAGCAACTTGCGCCAGGAATGTCTCTAAAGTTAATATAAGGCAAGACACCGACCATACACGACTTGGAACAGAATTCCACTAGCCTTTCGGGATCGTCCTCCCTTCGAGAGTCGACTTGAACGTTGTGTTTCATACCTCCACCTAAATACATCGTCTGTATACCGATGGGCCCCACAATGAAACACGGTGTTAGAGCTGGCATTTTCGTTTAAGTAAGAAGACCCAGCCTGACTTTGCAACCATGCAGAAGTGTTTACCCTAAATCGTAAATATTAGTACGATAAGTGAAATATGGTTTGTAAAATAAATATTTTGTCTTTATTGAGTAAAATGTGATTCTACAATTTATTTCTAAACATTTAGGTGTGCTAAATTTCATATTTATTCTTCGAAGTACCCGCTTTTGCTTTATTCATCCATATTCAAGAGTAGAGCGCACAAGCTGTACGCGTTATTCATGGTCTAAAATTAAATTTCATACAATCTAGGCGCATACAGAATTTGCGACTTTTCACTCACCTTTGAGAATATTGGCAAACCTACAATAAAGAAGTTGCCCGCCTTTAGCTTAACAGGTATTTTGAGGAACTCCATGTAGAGGATAATTAATTTGCGCGTTGACACCGAATAATCCTCCCAATTGAAACAGTACAAGGTGTCCAGAAGACGCTCCGATGCCAAAGTCAATTGGTTGCCATAGTAGCAGGGCAAGAATATTTGCAAAGTCGTGACATTAATGAATTGCAGCATTATGAAAAAGTGACCGGGATTGTCATTGAAGCTGAGCTGAAATTCTCAAGAATTTAATTACAAACAAACGAAGTATGTAGATATGGACGAATGTATAAAAATGCTTCAATGGGCAGCTACGCTCAAACAAAAAAAAAAAAATAAAAATAAAACATTTGTTAAACTTACGGTATGCAAGTAGTAAATGGTGAAGCACAGAACAAAAGCATTCACAATAATTTGTGATAAAACTGGCACTGAGACAAATAACTCACAATCCCTTGTCAAGCTGAAAGGAATGATGGGCATGAAAGAACGATACCCAAACAAAACGTAATCAACGAGAAATGTAACTTCAACAATGTTCACTCACTGCCTCACTCGCTGGTGCAGATGCCAAATGCTACGTAGCTGCCGCACAACGTCCGCTTCACCCAGCTGACGCATTGCCTCTATGCGTTTGCCTATCAGCTCGTACAGTATGGTCAAATGAAAGATGAAGTAGCACGTCATCATATCCATGGTAATGTTGGTTATACAAGTCAGTGGCATGCCTAGCAGCTCATAGATGTACACGAACCAGCACGTGCGTGGGTTATGCCAATCGTAAACGACATAGTAGGGAAACAAGAGTTCGTAGTTGTAGGGCCTCATCATGGAGTACAAGCATGCAGCACACACCACCCCACAACCGCCCATATACATGAGGGCAACGCGTTCAAAAATGCCATGCCTCTGTTGCCAAAAGAAACGCTCGTTGTTGCGCAAACGAAAAACTGGATTCTCGGCTAGTTCCTCGATGAAGGCGTACGTTTGTGTGCGGTAATGCCAAAATGAGTGAAATTTGAAGAGCATTGCCAACTCGGTGATCGTCATTGGTAGCTGATTGGCAGCCTGATCAAGGCTATCAACGGTTAGCAGTTGCAATGTCATAAGCGGTACGAACACAAAAGTGATGGGTCCATGCAACAGGAAAAGATGCCTGCGGCGCAGAAAACGGTAGAATGGATGTCCGTTGGTGCCACATGGCCAGTGCCAGAGGCCATCTAATTGCAAAATGCGAATTAATGAGGTAGCGGCTGCAATATTTTCGTTGTGCGGCATCGTAAAGATGGGTAGGATTTGTTGAATTTAAACTGAGGCGCAAACTTTTATACTGACTTTCATATAGAAGGGGGTGGAAGTTATGCAAAAATATGGTAAAAATGCAGTGACAGATGTTTGCAAGCTCAATTATTCGCACTGTTTTGAATGCACAACACGTGATTGCCTCATTACGATAATTTGTTTTGAAGTAATTATCATAATTTATAGCAAAATTTAGAAAATTGCAATCACCACAGGTTCCACCATTCCCGCGATCGAAAATTGCTTGTATTTTGCGAATGGGCATTTCTAAAGGAAAACTATGTACATATATGTATAATGGGCCAGTATTTTTATTCGAAAGTTTGAGTTCCTACTGTAAATCAACAAAAGGAACTTTCGACTACAAAGTGAATGTGGTCAGAGCATTCTATTATGCAGCACTGGCTCCTCAGCTTCCCGTAGTTGGAACTAACAAACCATTCTCACAAGAATAAACTAAAAATATTTCTGTCTGCAAATTAGGCGTGTAAAAGTTTATTAATTCATTATGCTGTAGACCTCGTAGATTGTCTTAGAGCTTGATGCTCCTTTTTTTGCTAAATTCTCAGATCTGTAATTTCTTTCATTACCAATGAGTTCTCAAACAAAGATAAATCAAACTCTATTGGTTAGACCTGAAATGCTTAGCTTACTAAAGCACTCCGTCGCGAGTATGTATTCATATATTATCGTGACAATGACAGCAGTAGAACTAACCCCAAAGCAGTTACCATGCACTCATTGAGCACCGTATCACCATAATTGAGAAAATATTCCGATATTACGTCGGCCATCAAAATATTTTAATACTCTGGTAAAAGCGTGGTACCCTGTCTAGCGAGTAATTTAGTAAGATGCTTACCGGCTTAGAGGGGTATCCGAGTGTCTTGGCAATATACTTGTTTATTAGGCTTAGTACAAATATTCACACAATGGACCTATAACAGTATGCCTACTGGAAGGGTAGACCGGTCGATAGCGCTCTCCGTGAAGTTATCGGTAATAAAGAAAAGTCACTGGAATATTGAAAATATACTCCAGCTAGCCTCTTGGACATTGCGGGAGCTCTGTTAACATCAAGGCAGAAGAAAACAGTACGGCGCTGGAGAGACACGGCATCCAGCGGTTCATAGTAAAATGGAGCCCACTCAATGCGCAGGAGTAGATTGCTCAACGCGTCTACAGCTGCGTCCGTGAATAAGAGAAATAGTTACACAATAGTTCACATAGAGGTCTGTTATCGCTCTTCCTGAGAGTTTTTGATTGAAATGAACTAGTAGAAAGCTTTAACCTTACGCGAGTATGTGGGGATTTGCATTTGCAGTGACGATACAAATGTTTTAGCACGAGTGGTAATTTTTACTTATTTAGTATATCTTTTCTTTTGGTTTTCATTTAAATAAAATCTTGTGATGGAATCTTTGTTCTTTAAGCAAAACGGTAGATAGTGCATTGGCTATTTTGTGTTATTTAGTTTTATGAAAATTTAATGGGTTTGTTACTAAAAATACAAATACTTCACGGGTATTGCCATTTATTTATTCATTTTTAGAAGCAGGGCGAAGAAACTGTATGCATTGTTCATTGTCTAAAGAAACAAGATACAAGAAAATTAAATATTGGGTACTTATCTAGACCAAATCTCAAATATTAAATATTTAGTAAATATTAATAATAAAATATTCAATAAAATATATATATTTGGACAGGTTAGTTAAATGATGTATTGTTGAATGATTTTCACTGATCCCTTGTCAAATTAAGTTTGGAGACAAACTGGTTTCGGCCTTGTGTCGAAAAAGGACACTGGCACAAGGGATGACGAAAAATCGTTGCACAATAGGTACATACACTGGCGGTTGTTAGAATAGAGTCGCCTTACTTTGAAGAGTTTTAGCTAGATTCCGTTGGTTTATTTTATGTTTAATATTTTTCTTTAAAAGCCTGGCTGGTTGTATAGCTACAAACACCATATAAATCCCCTTTTCAAACTTTGTACAAAAATTCAACAATTTTTCACCAAATGTTTTGAACTTTTTATTAAGAATTTTTAGAAAAATTTCTGATATGTATTTTTTTATCCCATTCAATTTTAGGATAATAAAGGGCATTTGGCTACAAAATACCGCTGATTTTTAAGAAATTTTTTTCTGGCGGTGTCACGAATTTTTTCCCATATATGTACATAAAGTGTGCCGGACAATTTTTTTATATGGAAGAGAATCGTCAACAACAAAAATTGTAAAAAATCAACGGTATTTTCTAGCCACTTGAAACTTGAACTTTATTGAGTGGGCTACAAAACTGCATACCAGAAATTTTTCTAAAAATTCTGAATAAAAAGTTTAAAAATCTGTTGAAAATTTGTCGAATTTTTATAATTTTTGTATAAAGTTTGAAGAGGGGTTTATATGATGTTTGTTGTATAGGTAGCCAGGCTTTTATAAAAAATATTAAACATAAAATATACCAGGGAAATATAGTCAAAACTCTTCAAAGTAAGACGAGTCTATTCTAGTGACCGCCAGTGTATCATAAAAAAGTTCAACTTTCAAAGTGAATAATTTCTTGCCTTTGTGAATATGGGTAGTCCAATTAGGAAAAAGTTGCCCGCTTTTAACGTAGTTGGGCGCTTTAAGAGTTCCATGTATAAAATCATAAATTTACGCGCTGGTATTTCAAAAGCAGTCCAATCTGAATTGAACATATCATTAGTCAAAGCATTCGAGTTAACCGTTACCATATTGCCATAGTAACAGGGCAAGAAAATTTGTAAAGTCATTGATGAGACGAACAGAATTGTGGCGAAGAACACGCTGACATTTTCCATTATTTGCAACTGCATAGAGATAGAGGACGTCAACATATAGAAAAATTAATTCATTAGCCATCAGTAAGATCTGTATATTATTGTTTAGACCCACGCACATGTTGTAATCGATAACCGCTAAAGCATAGTATAAAGGCGCTGAGTATGATTTGCGATAGCACAGGCACGGACACCAATGTCTCACATTGCGCAGCCAGTCTGTGAAATTTTAAGAAAGAAAATTTTCCATTTTATATACTGATATGTACCATTTCCTTAATTGTATTGCACCTATTCACACTCTCGTGCAATTGGAAAATATGGCGCATTTCATTGAGCACCTCAGCTGCGCCAGCAGCGTCTCGCCTTTGTCGCAGTGCCGCCAAACGCCAACCAATCAATTTATACAGCATCGACAAGTGTAACATGAAGTAGCAGAATATCATGTCCAGTGTAACATTGGCAACGCAAGTGAGCGAGACGCTAATACAGCAATAGCTCCACGCGTACCAGTAATTATGCGGGTCGCGCCACTCAAAGGGTACATAGTAGGCGTAGGGTAACACATAAACATCCGCTGCTGTGTACAAAGCCCCAAAGCAACTGAACACCACAATAGAACAGCTTCCAAATATGTAAGAGTAGGCGACAATTACAAATAAACGCTGCTCCCGCATCCACTGTGTCAGCTCCGCTTGCTGGCGAAACTCATATTTGGATGAATGTACCAACTCGTCCAAGTAGCGCCATGCCAGAGTGCCATGCTGCCAAATGCTGAATATTTTCACAACCAAAGCAAATTCGGTTAGCAAGATGTAAAGAACATTGCTAATTTCCTCCAGGTCGTGCGACAAAAGTGCAGCGCACACCATTAGCGTAATAAGGGTAAATGTGAGTGGCAAGTGAAGTGCGAGGCCATACACTCGCTGCAACTTTAATAAAAATTGAGTGCGTTCCCATTGAGTGCGATCCTCTGGCCACTGCCAAAGCCCGATCACTTTGAGAACTATAATTAAAGAACGCACGGATGCGATGCGGTCGCCGCGCGTAGTTGAAATGACTGTTGAGGAATTTGGAGAATTTTTCGTTAGCATTCTAAGTTTGAAATAAGACTGTCAAATCAATGAGATTTGTGATGTAAGTAAGGAACTTATATATACAATTTTTCGATAGTAATTAGCACATTCTTTTGAGTAATTAAGAAGCCAAAAATGAAGGCGAACCAATATTACATATACATAGGCCATCAATGTATGTTCATACAGCTTTGCGTAGATATACGCAACAAAAGTGAGTTTTTGTAGTTTGTAATGTTTTTACACGCTTTTGTTAACCCTCATTAGTCCTTAGGGTCAAAATTTACCCTTTTCAAGTTAAGAGTCCGATTTTATCATTTGCCTTTGGTTCGATCAATCCAATTACTTTTTACTTTTTTTCTGCTAAAAAACGAAAATTTTTGTATACTAGGAAATTTTACATTGTAATTGAAATATTTTTTTTGGCTTTTGTTACCAATTAGACCCAAGGGTCAGAAATTGCCCAATTCTCACATAACAGAGAGGAGCTTTAAATTTTCAGAGGAGCTTACTTTACGTCGCTACGCCACTTTATAGGCAAAACACGAGTTTTTTTTTCAAAATCGTAGATCTTCGGTTAGAAAAGAAATAATGCTTACCACTACACCACAGCGGCCGACAGCGGCTTGCTCTAAGGTACTCCATCAAAAAAGCTGGTGCAGAAAATCGTGCTCTAAATTGCTCTAGTGCGACTTAGGCTCATGAAACAATAAATGGAGTAAGTTAGAGCAGGAAAAATCCTCAATGGAACACAATTTTGTGAGATATCTTAACCTGGCGTTACCTAGAGCAGCTCATTAAACACAACTAATACATGAAATTCGCTGCAAAGGCATGTAAAGGAGAATTCGGCAACCCGAATTATCAAGTCGACTTTCGGACAGAAAATAAAAATCAATTTGATTCGAACAAAGAGTGTTCAGCACATTTTGGTTGCGCTCTCAGTGAGACAGAGTGGGAAAGGAACGCGTAAAATTACTAACAAATAGTGTCCGGACACGAACGGTGAATCCGTCTTTAAAATGGAATCACACATTTTTACAATTGAACATTTTATCCGGGTTTTACTTTGCCAACATTTATGCTAATAATGACAGCATTTACCTCAAAATAATTATAACAATTACTGATTATGTGCATAAGAAGGGTTCGCTGCTTTTGTTGTAGCACAATTTTCTTCTATTTATGCGTGTGTGTGTAACTACAAAATTTTCTATAGTAATTGGAGCTATTAATTTATTTTAATTTGTTGCGTTATACTTGGTTGCGTGCAATAACATTAAAATTGCTCGAAAATTATTTGAGTTAATAAGGAAATTGAATTTTAAATGATTTGTTTGCATATAAGCTCATTAAAGACTCTACATTGGGATTATATAAATGAAAATTAGATATTTTGGTTTATCATATGAAACATAATATACATATTATAGCTAAGATTTCATTCTTAAAGTGAGATATTATCTATTATATTTGGAGTAATTCTTCTCTAATGAAAATATTTTTCTATTGCAATTAAAGCAGACCTCTTCTAATGAAATTAAAAAATCGAATAATATACTTTTATTTTTTATGCAAAAGATTTAACGTTGATTTCGAGTTTATTGATGATGAGATTACGTTTAAGATCAGGATGGGTAATATGTAAGGAGGGAGAGAGCCGAGGGATCCGGCTTAACGAACCTAAGAAGATCTCTAGACCATCCCCGGTCCGCCCTCGGCCGTAGCACATAAGCGCCATGCTCTGGTTTTCCTGCAACATTCGCCGAGTTGACCTGAGGCTCAGCTTTCCAAAAGAAGTATACAAGTAGACAAGACAACTCTCACCATCTCTCTTCTTGGCGATTATTCCACAACGGCGTCGCCTCTGGCCAGTTCAGCAGCCCCACATGTTCCTGCAGTGGCTCTATATCCTAGCGCCTATACAAGTTAGGCAAAGTTATAATCTGGCGCTATCGAAAGCGAATTAAGGTATTGCCCAATAAGCTTCAAGGGTACCGTAAGTGAGCCCAGGGCACTGATTGCCGCCTGGCTGTCTGAGGAGATATTAACCTCTCTTACCGCCTTCGCGTCTAACAGCAGACAATCGACTGCTTCCTTACTCAATAGTAGCAACCTCCTCCAGAAAAACACTACAATGATCTGTAAGCCTAACTTTAAGGTTGATGGAGAACTTCCCGAAGCCTTCCGTAAACTTCGACCCATCCGTGCAAGTGTTCACCGGTGCCGCTATTCAAATACCGTCGTCCTACATCCATTAATCCCTATATGGCATATGCGTTGAGAAAGAACAAGCTAGTGCCAGGTTGGCATGCGGTTGTCCGAGTTACTCGGAAAGAAATCGAAGCCCCCGAGAATGCTAGATGTTAGGCGAATAAACAATACTTACTGGATGCTATTTTTGAATTAAAGTTTGAATTTATTTTAGTCCTTATCTTTTACCTTCCAAATTATGGATTACAATTCATTTGCTCATATTTAATAGCAGTGCCAGCAAGCTATACGCGTTATTCATAGTCTGTAGGGAAATAGAAATTATTTGTTGAAAAAATCAGCAACCACCTATATACATATGTATTTCAAAACACTTTTCAATGACCTTTGTGAAAATAGGTAGGCCCACTATGAAGAAATTTCCAGCCTTAATACGCACAGGCGTCTTCAGCAACTCCATATAGAGGTTCATTTGCTTTCGCGTGGCCGGCGATAAGTCCTCCCAACTGCTACTGTATACACACGTTGTCAGCGCGTCCGAATTTATGGTAATCTCATTGGCAAAGTAACATGGCAGGAATATCTGTAACGTCAGTACGCTGGCAAATTGCAACATGGCTAAAAATTGGCCTGGATTCTCGCTGATTTGCATCTGCAAAGGAAAGTAAAGTAAAGCAAAGCAAAGCGGCCGACAACGAGGCCAAGTTACAAAGCGAACGCGCTGCACTGTATAGCATTTCAGTTCATAAAACGAGAAGCGCAGACACACAAAAATGCTTACATATGAATGTACATACACTTACACTTTGTAGGCGATAGGCGCTAAGGCACAAAATGAAAGCACTGAGCACGATTTGCACCATAATGGGCAGCGACACCAGCGACTCACATAGCGACGTCAACCTACATTTTTGCACGGAGTAGGCAAAATGTTAGCAATTTACCCAGCAGAATGACATTAGTATCAGTGCAAATTTCCAATAAGCAGTGAGCTCAAAAGCACCTTCCACAACTTTTCCACTTACCGTTTGACCTTTTTGTGTAACTCGATGATGGCCATCAGCTCGTGCACGGCAAAAGGTTCGCTCAAATATCGCAATGACATTAGGCGCATGCCAATTAGCTTATATAGGAGTGCCACATGAAAGAGATAATAGCACAGCAACATATCCATAGTCACGTTTGAGATGCAAGTCAGCGACATGGCCACCAGCTCATAGACATAGGCGTACCAGTAATTGTGCGCCTTGTGCCAATCGAACGGCAGCCAATAGTCGTAGGGCAAGTAGTAGCCACTCAAGAGCAGAGTCGCGCCAAAAGCGGTAAACAGCACGCCAATGCCGCCGCCAATGTAGCAGCTAGCAATGCGCGCAAAAAGGCGCTGCTGCTTTTGCCACCAGCGACGCTCCATGTCCGTGCGCAACGCGTAAATAACGCCATAGCTGATCTCATGCACAAATTGGCAGGCGCAGCGCTCCATGCGCCAAAAATTCAGCGCGAGCGCCATCATGCCCACCTCCGTGATGGAGATGTAGAGTATGTGATCGGCGCGTTCCCAACGCGTCAGCGCTTCGATCCACATGAGCGTATTGTAGGTGAAGGTGAGCGGCAAGTGAAGCAAATAGCGATAGTAGCGCGCCAGTAGGTGGTGGTGCCATTGCTGTATGCCAACTTGGGATCGCTGCTGCCAGATCGGCCAGAGTCCGAGACATTGCAGCAGGCGTATTAGTATACGTGCGGCGCCGATGCGCTCCTGCAGGGCTTTGACAGGCGTTAGTGATGCCATTTGAAGATTTCTTTTGACTATGTGATGTAATGAATACTTCTGTGTGCTTTTATAAAGCGCAAGGAATAAGCAGTGTGCTTTATGTATGCATTTGTGTCTGCATTGGTGCATATGTATGCATGTAAATATATTTACATTAATTAATTGAAAATGGTGCGTTCTAGGTGCTTGACCGTCTAGCATCGATTGCAGCTAACACGTACAGACAAATGCTTTGGCGTCACTGATACTATTTTTAAACTTTGAGAAGTTGTATGCGAGAAACCAGTGCGTTGACTATAGAAAATGTGCCGAATAATTTTTATTACTGAACCAAAAATTAGATTAGAGCCCACTCACCGTGTGAGCATCCCGAAGAATTCACAAAAAGCCACATAAAGGTCTAAAATATTGAAGAAATCTCAAACAATTCCGATAACTACATAACTCAAAAAGAAAGAGTATCAAAAAGTAATCGACGAAAAATTACCCGAACAAATTCTTAAGGACCCCGCAAAATTGCGATAAACTCATGAAAAGCCTCGACAAATCTTTGAGGAATTCTGTATGAATGGCGGCCAGTTTTTCCATCTTAGGCACAGGTTTAACTAATAAATTTAGCCCTTTTGTTACATTTTTTCTTTCTTAAATTTATAAATAGGGAGGATAAGATCAAGGTATAGGAACAAGAAAGAAGCAAAAGGAAGTATCTTGCTGAGAATCCCCAATGCAAAAGCAGCAAGCGATGATTCCAACATTAGAGTCTCTATCAGCTCGTCGAAAAAGAGAGGGTGAATGCTCCCTGAAAGACCTGCTAAAGACAAAGAACAAAAGAGAGCATGTAGTAGAGACTGGAGGAAAGCTTTAAAGCGGCGTTAGGCATCAGACAACGCTTGGTGGCCGCACTAGACCGAACACATCCGGGCCGCGAGCGCTTACGCTTCGCAAAGGGGACGGTTTTGTTGGGCCGGTCATAGTTCGACAGAAAATGAAATGCTACAAGCAACCATTTTTTCAGATGGTCAGAACCTGAGATTGAAAATTAAAATTTTTACCTCAGAAAAATGGCTATATTTAAAATGATTCGTTTACAATTTTCTCCTAAAGCTGTCCATACATATGTGTTCGACTGGTTTGTTCGTGCTTCACGTAATTTTTCTTGTATATGGCGGTGTTCGCGAACATCTCACAAGAAATTGTAAAATTTAAATTCTTGTAATATGTTCGACGTTGTTTGCAATGTTTGGGGCTTCTCGCTTTCTCGCTATTTTTACGTGCATCAGGTTGAAAAACCAGCCATTGTGACCTGCCATGAAAAACCTTTAAATCCAAAGAAATGAACAGAAAATCCTCGTAATGTTGTCGCCTAAACGTTGACAAATCCTCAAACCCATGTAGGAAAGGTGCCTCTATCAAGCTTCTGAATGCCACGAGAAACTTTCACGCTAACATCACCGCAGTTCGAGAAATACGATAGACGGGGCATGGATGTAGCGCGCTATATCTAATAAATACAGCTGCCATGAGACGGCGCCCAAATTTGGTGTCGAATTTGTGGTTGGGGGGAGGCTAAGATACCTCGTCTCCAGGTACACAATCCGCATAAACGGCAAAACTGAAAAACGTCAGCCTAATTTCTGTGCATCGCCTCAGCAGAAGAGTGGGACGATGAGACTAAGTAGGATTTTTATGAGCGCCTAGGAGAAGCGTATAAACGCTGCTCCCACCACCATGTTAAAATCGCGTTTGGCGACTTTCACGCCAGGTTGGGAAATGCAAGCATATTTGGTCCAATAGTCGGAGAATTAGCCTTCATGACAACACTTCCCACAACGGAGAGAGTCTGATCGAAATCTTGGCGGCACGTAAAATGGTAGTTAGCAGTACCAGAAACCAGCCTTGATACATCCACAAAGCCACTTCCCTATCCTCTGATCAAAGAACGCAGAACCAAATTGATCATGTTGTGATGGACGGAAGATACGATTCGAGCGTTCTCTTTACCTGCGCTCCATCCGAGGAGCCAACGTCGAGTGTTTATATAAGATTTAAAACAGTGGTCTATCTGACATTATCCACTTCTTCCTAGTCCCTACAGCTATGACGAAAATCATTTATTCGCCAGCAATATTAGTGATACTAAAGAGCGATATTGCAGACCTTGAGCTATTTTCGTTTAAAATTTCTGAGATTTAACTTATTTGCTTACTTGCCGTATTGACTTATCAACTTGCCACATATATTAAAAACAATTCAGTTGAATATTTGTCAAGCCCGATTTCTTAAATCTCTTTCACAATAAATCTTAAATTTGCCATAAACCAGAACTTTTTTCCAAGCGAAAATTAACAAAACTTCTGTTTATACATACACTTAGGTGCAAAATTGAGTCAATAGTAAAAAAATCATCACAAATTATGCGTTTTTCGGTGGTTTAATTAATTTTTTTTTGTCATATACTAGAGTATAGTTTAAAGCACTAGAATCCACCGGTGGAAAGAATCCGAAAATATTCGCGGTAGTATGACGAAAAATGAGGCGTTTAATACCGTGAGACAGAATATCTATCGCTAAAGAAGCTGTGGCGTGCGTTAGTGGAGATGCTAGAGTCTGGACCGTGATAAGAATGCTTCGAAGGGTCGACGGAGTAAAACGGGTAGCGTTGCAGCGAGTTGCAGCGTGGCAATATCTCTTAGAAATTATGTGGGTGCAAATTTGAGTCAATGTGCCAATTTAGAAAAATGTATGGAGTGCATGTCCGTTAAGCGAAATTTTGTATTTTATTGATGGATTCTAGTGCTTTGAACTGTGCCTTAATAAATGTCAAAAAATTCATTACAATTTTGCCAAAGAACTTCCCAAAAACGCATAAATTGTGATTTTTGTGCATTATTGCCTAAATTTTGCACCCAAGTGTACATATGTATGTAAATGTGTTTGTATATTTGTTGAAATAGCGAAAATCATGGAAATCCAATTAAAGTCATTAACTTTTTTAATTGACAATTAACATAATATTCTGTTTTAATGAATTGACCGCTTACTTATTTGCCGTGTGTGTGCATCTGCCACAGAATATTTAAATTACGTTGTTGTTGTGTATTTATAAATGCAGAAAACAATCACATGTATACATACATATGTATATTTGTGTTAATGTATATATGTATGTATGTTTTTATCCTTTTAAAAATGTTTGTATGTAAAGCAACGACAATTTCGTATAATTAGTTCGATAATAACAACTGCATATTTAATGACTTTTCGTCATACTCGTATGCATGTATGTACGTATCTATGTATGTATGTATGCCTGTGGTAAGTGGTAATGCGATTGCACATACATATGTAGGCGGAAAGTCGTATAAGTATTATTTGGTTCTGCAGTTTTCAAAGTTAAATACAACTCTTTAGCCAAATGGTTAAACATTGTTTATGTGGCGTGAATGGAAGCAGTTTAATTTTGTTTATTAATTAAAAGATATGCTACGAGTAAATGTATGTATGTATACGTATATTAAATCATATTTATCTGCTTATAAATATATGAACTAAAATTACTAATAATTAATATATTAAAATTTTTCTGCATTATTCTCAATTATAATATTTACGTTTGTTTTATTTTTGTTCTCGCGCAGCTGGCGCATTCTAGTCCAACACTGGCCTTTCATCTCCCAACCACTGGCTTTGGCGGCTGTCGGTATTGGCTTATGGATCATTGCATTTGTGCTGCTGCCCGATTATGCGCTTCCACATACGCCAATTATGCGCATATTCTTCCTCTTTGTGGGCGCACAGCTGACCGGTGTGCTGGTGACCTTCATCCACTTGCCGGATATGTTGGGCATGCTGTTCTTCGGCGTGTTGTACACAAATGTGGGTTTAGCTGATTTTACGGGCTATGATAAATTAGAGGCTTTTCTGAGGTAATTAAAAATAATTTACAAAAAAAAAAAAAATATGCAGCTGTGTATGTAAGTAAACTAATGCTGCTACCTACTCGGAAAATAGTTAAGCACCTTACAAGGTAATCCATGTTTCCTTCCGGCTTTTTATAACAAAAATTGTCATCACGAACAATGTCATCTACTAGTAACGCACAAAATCAACACCTCCGATGACACCTTACATTGTAAGTGGGCTTACATTATCCGTACTAAAAGCCAGGAGAAAACAGGGATTACCTCGAAAGGTGCTTACCTAAATATTTTCCCAGTGGGTATGAATGTTATACCTATAACAATAAGACGTTGTGTGTTTGAAATATTTTCAGGGAGATGGCACTGATTAACATAATGCTTTTAGCAGGTCTTGGTCTCGATGCGAACGCCTTCAAGAAGCTGTGGCTTATGATTTTACGCCTTACACTTATACCAACCATCGCTGAAGTGACGGCAATTGCCGTTGTAGCGAGATTTACTCTGGAAATGCCATGGTTCTGGGGTATTTTATTAGGGTTAGTAGCAAAAATTTGTTAAATACGTTCGAGCATAATATGTATATGTATGGTCATAAGTGGGCGGGCCACGCCCATTTTCCAAAATTTTATCATGAACGTATTTTTTGCTATAGAATTATTGCAATCGTCAATTTTGATTAAATTATCTTAGGTATTTACTGATTTATCGAAGATTTTGCATTTCTCTAAATTACCGTTATACGGGATGTGGGCGTGGTTACTGTTCGATTTTAAAAATTTTCAACTGTTTGGTACAACATACCATACACCAACAACTGTGCCAATTTTGTGAAAAATTGGTAAAGTGATCGATTGTAATAAATTGCATACAACATTCTTGTCTGTGCCCAATACCTTTAAACTTCGTTTAACCCTTCTGCAATGATTGGGTTAAAATGAGCCAATTTTCATGAAAAATTCTTTAATTACAGAGTTACGTAATTTTAAATTAGCAGCAGCGTTGCTTATTCGTTAAAGGCATAATCAGCTATGGTTTTACAAAAAATAAAAATTTTTTTTTTTTAAATTTTGTTTTCTAGAAGGTCACATAGTTTTTTTCCATACACCCACAGTGTTTCTGGATCATTTTGACCCAAATTATTATTTAAGGGCAACTTTGGACGGGTGAGCATACAGCACTTGCCGATAAAGTGTTTGCATGTCATAAATTATTAACTGAATTCAAATTGAAATACCGTTTTTTTTTTTAATTGACTAGTTTCTAGTTAAATCGGTTACGTAATTTTTACTTTAGGCGCGCTGAAGAACAGCAACAGTCCTTTTATATGAGTTTTTGTATGAATATAGATTTCAGTTGAATAGCTATTAATATTATATTATTCAATTTTGTGTTCTTAAAAAAGCAAAAAAAAGCACAGAAATAAAGTAAATCTCTTTTATGAGTCATGGCGCATTAAATAACTATCATGATATTACCCGACATTATTAGAAAATAATTAGTTAATTAAAATTAAATTCCACTCTACGAATCTGCTACGTTCATTCAGTAGCTAAGTGTAAGAAAATATTTAAGTTACGCTTAGTAATTTATAAAAGTTTCAGCAAAAATTCTTAAATATAAATATTTTACGCTTCACAAACTTTGTAGCATAACCCGTTCGCTCGCTCAGTAATGACATAAAATTACATGGAATTTTCTTTTAATCCCCTACATTGCAGTCTTGTCGTCACCGCTGTCTCTCCGAACGTTGTCGTCACTGTAATGCTGAAGCTGAAGGAAGAGCGACTGGGCCTGAATAGCGGCATACACACATTAATATACGCCATGACCAGCTGCAATGATGTCGTCGCCATTTTTCTCTTCGGTGTCATTATGAGCGTCATCTTCTCCACGGGTGAGTAAATGCAAAGTATTAATTATACTTAGTTACATAGTAAATAGCTTGCAGTGCGAAATCCAGTTTAATATGCCGTAATTGAATTTGATATTTATAGATAAATCATTGACGCAACAAATACTGCAGGGACCTATCGGCATCGGTATTGGCATCGTATTTGGCTATGTCTATGGACTGATGCTGACTATTTTGCCATCTACAAAGACGGTATGTACTATTTAGTTGTATATGTACAATATATGTACATCCATATATGATTAAGTTAGGAATGCATTGAAATGGGGTTAAATTCAAAAAAAGAAATTTAAGAGCAAGCATACAAAGCCACTTATGCCATAATAAAAATGTGTGCGTGTGTGGTGTGGTTCTTTAAACTATGTACTGTACGCGAATGGAGTTGCAAAGATAAAGCGAAAAGATTATTTTGAAATATTTTAGCATACATTTTGGCGTTGTCGGGCAAACACACACACACACACACACGCCGCGCGCGCGCATCAAAGCCATAAGCGCAACTGGCGCTATTAAATTTACAGTGAATGGTATGCACATGCGCTCAATGCACAGCGAGGTCACTGTAGTATCTCAAAATTACTGCATTTTATCGTTCATAAAATGCATCACAAACGAGCTGCAGCTGTAATCTGTGTCGCCACAATAGCGACTTGCAATAGCTGTACTACCACCCACGTTGGCATCGTCATTCTACTTCTTGACATCACTCCTCAATCGCCAAGTTCATCACATATGTACATACTCATGTATCTCAGTGTTGCCTCGATTCGAAAATAAAGCTACACACACCCTCGCAAACACACGTGTACTGTACTAGTATTGGTCCGCCAAGCCATTTGCTGCAACTTGCACCGTTAATGGCGCACATAATCAAACGTTGCCACGCCACTAGCGCACAGTGGCTCAAGTACTGCAGCCAGCGACACACGCCTTATTATGACATTACTCCTCGCAGTAGGTTCCAGTTTTGCACACAAGCCGTTCGACGCTGGCGCCGATTTTGGCACATACATTTATTGCATTGTTGTTGGTGCTATTGCTTAAGTTGCTGCACAGTTTTGCCACAGTGTGCGCAAATGGCTGCCCTTTTACAGGGTTAACCATTTTAAAGCGTAGACAACTCACTGCCAATTTCACTGAAAATATCTTCACTTCAAAAAAATACAATATATTTTTGAAATATTTTAGTTTTATTAATTTGTTTAAAGTATTTAGTTCGTCATGCATACGGCGATGGCTATTATTATTATTATAGCATTATCCCCAGGTGCAAAATTTCGTCCACGGAATCAGGGGTTAGACTATCACTCAAGTCTCCACTGCTTAAATACATGCTGGAGGGGAGTGGCTATGACTCTTCTTTAAATCCGCATCCACGATCGATTAAATTGGGAAACAGTTATTTACTAATGACCTCCCAGTTATGGCGTCAATTCCCCAAGAGAGCAGGGAATGGAGGTCAAAGCGAGCAACAATACACAAGTAGAAGGAATCCTCCTTTTTTTGTGGCTGTCAGTTTATTGCTACTGCACCTTTAAAGGCAACGACGACACTCTAATTGTTGTTATCGCTGCTACGGTGAGTGTAAGTGTAGTGGGAGTTTGTTCGGAGATGGCCGATTGCAATTTGGTGTTGATACAATGAAGGCAAACACAATAAGAGATGACCTTGCCAAAGGAGACCCAATAATTCCATCGCAAGACAAGAATAAGGTTCATTTCGTTCCTGTGGTGGTTTCCTTTTTTGGAAAATAATTCATCGGCGCAAGAATAGACGACCGTAAGAAGATTCAAGGGGTTTTTTTTGCCAAAATTGTGGCTAATTAAAGTGCTTAAACCAAGAATATTTAAATCGCTCATCAATGACTGAAAGGCGTTCGCGGTAGCCGAGTGGTTAGAGGTGCGTACTATTACTCCATTCCAAAGTTCGACCTCAGGTAAAAGCAACATCCGTAAAGACAAGAAAAAATTATATTGACAACCACTGCCCCTCGGCAGGCAATGGCAAACTAGCGAGTGTATGTCTGCCTTGAAAAATTGTTCGATAAAATCCGTTTGAGTTTCGGAGGCGGCGTTAAATTATAGACCTACATCAAGATGCATACCACAAATCAGATGAGAAGCTCGGCCAAACACTTAGCAGAAAGTATTTATTTTTGTTTTTTTGCGATAAATACTTACTTTAATTTTTTGATGTCCATCGCAACAGGTCTAGCTGGTAATTGCTTGCATTGAGCGGAATGAATCACACTTTTTTAAATACATTTTAAAAGTAAATCCCCATTTCCTCTCCCTCCCTTGAAGAGGATGAGACAGCTCTTAGATACCCAATATAAATTCATAAACCGTGAAATGAGTTTTCTTTTTTTCTACACGCGTTTTTGAGTTAATTTTGACAGAAAAAGAATGAAAACTTAAAATCAAAGAATGGGTGGCCCAAAAAAAAGTAAAGTCGGAATTTTGATGCCGCCAACTTATAGGAATTCTCTATATGTACTAAAAAAATATACACGTATTCTTTATTTTAAAATCAAAAAGTAGTTAGAGAGTGCTCAAAGCGCTCAAACTTTTCCTCCTATTTTTTTTTTGGGAAAAACAACTCTTCATAGAAATGGTAAAGATTTCTTGAAAATCGAAATTTTTCGATCGTAAAACTTTGTGCCTCTTCAGGAGATTCTCAGTAATAATACTCAATGATTTATTTAACCATTTTTAGCTGGTAATTGTGTTTTATAGGTCGCAGGTTCAAATGCCGGCACATGCAGCATTTAAATGATAGAAAAAAATTTTTTATCATACAAAATTTATAATTTTCATATGCAATTTTAATAGCATTTTCAATCTTGATAACTTATGAAGAAAAGAGCTTTTTATTTCTGTGCTAGATTTACAATTCTTGATAAATAATAAAAAATTGAAAATAGACACGATTTATGAATTTATATTTGCTATCTAAGAGCTGCATTAAAATTTCGACTTTAGTTTTTTTTTTTTGGACCAGCCTAATCGGACATGCATTTACATGCTGCTCGAAGGTCTTCGCTGATAATTCATGTTTGAAAAGAAGTCGGTCATTTTCCTCCATTGCTTCCTCTTCGGCTTTAAAAATCTGCTGCAAAAAGTCTAAACTTCGTGACACCAGCAGTTTTGGCTAAATGCTTAGACTCGCCATTTACTTTAAGCTGAACTCTCTCCTGGGGTTATCAGAAGTCAGAAAGTTATTGGTGACATGCACCGAGAATCACTAAACACTTAGGCGAGCTCTAGTCCTGCAATTGGCTCTCTAAGTTTTTTTTCTAAGTAAAAATCAAAAAAACAAAAAATAGTATACAGCCCGTAAATAAAATAGATCTGTTCTATCATTTACTGGAAATTTCTGCATTATTCCTTATTATGTGGTGCACCTGCAATTTCAAATCAAATAATATTTATAGACAGTGCCCAAAAAATCAAGGCACTTAACACCCTTTACAGAAATATTAAATGACTCTCCAGCCAACAGGAACAACTTTACAAAGCACTGCAGCAAAAAAAATTAAATTTCAGTTCACACTGTGAAGTTATGGGCATAACATTTTCTTGCCCAGCATGCATTTCTCCAACGTGCTCATCCGCGTATCTACAAATACATGGTATGAGTGCTTCCGCAGCAAAGCAACTCTGTGTTATGTAGTTTCTTGTGTGCATTTAAATTTTTTCTATGTCTTTTTTTCAATTTAGTAGCGCCCTAGTGGTACAAAGTTAGTAGAACGCAGTAGTGCCAGTGATTTTATTATAATGCGAAGTTGTAATTTCAAGTCATACCTCGTAGCAGTTGTTCGAGTGCAGTGCAAAAGAGAAAGAAGGAAAAGAGAGAAGGAAGAAGAAAGCATTCACCGCCTTTTCGCACACTTGCTTACTTTCGTGACTTTATTCCTTTTGACAATTTCTTTATAAGTGCCGCATAATGCATACTTGTCACACGTTAACACACTCACACACACACACACACACACACACACACACACACACACACACACA